ACCATACTGTGTTCCCTTGATTCTTTTATGCCTTAACTCCTGAGGAGTGATTGGCATATCCTTGAAGAATCTAGTATTCTTTGTGAATACATATGTTATTCTTTCTTAGCATATAGGTGTTATTTTAGCTGAGTGATTTGAAACTAAAAGGACCCACATATTACCCTATCTCTGCTTCATTCAGTATCAGTTTATGTAATGAGAGAGATGTTGAGATTATGTTATGCAGATAAATGATGTAGAGGTAGAAAAAAGGGTGAGAAATGAATATTTAATTCTATTTGCTCAACATCTTCGCCTTAATTTCATGCAACAGATATTCATGGAGCCACTAGTATCCTAGTGAAAAATGAGAGCCCCTGCACGCGAGAAGCTTATTGTGTTCAGGGTGAGGCAGGTGTAAAGTTAGCACTAAACCATTTGTATGCTGCAATGGAAGTGTATGCACTGGGTGCTCTACGGGGAAGGATAAGAGCTATCCTGAGAAATCTCAAGCTTGAACTGAATAACTGAATTTAAGTTTACATAGAGTCCTGGCCGGTAGCTCAGTTGTTTAAAGCATCATCCCAGGTTATGGGTTCAATCCATGGTCAGGGCATATACAATAATCAACCGATGAATGCTTAAATAAGTGATACAACAAATATCTCTTTCTCTTTCAAATCAATAAATAAATTTTTTTTTTTAAAGATTACTTATTTTTGCCGAAATCGGTTTGGCTCAGTGGGTAGAGCGTCAGCCTGCAGACTGAAGGGTCCCGGATTCGATTCCAGTCAAGGGCACGGTCAAGGGCACGTGCCTTGGTTGCAGGCACATCCCCAGTAGGGGGTGTGCAGGAGGCAGCTGGTCAATGTTTCTCGCTCATCGATGTTTCTGACTTTTTATTCCTCTCCTTTCCTCTCTGTAAAAAATCAATGAAATATATATATTTTTTTAAAAGATTATTTTCCAGACAGCTAAAAACTTCAGAAGACTTTACTAAGTAGAAAAAACAACAGGTAAAGGGGCACAGAGCTGTGAGTTTCAATATTTGGGGAACAGGAAGTAATTTTAATGTGGTTGAAGTTAAGGAAATGGGCTAGCGAGGTAGGCAGGGACCAGATCCAAGAGAACGATATATATTCTTGAAATGCAGTTCTAGCCAAAGTAAAAGTTTGAGAGCTACAAAATGCAGATCTTGAAAAACTAATGAAAAAGAGCTTAAACACTTTCTCCCAAAGAGTGATCTGTGTGCAGATGATCTTGTCAAAAGCTGATATTTTACCAAGGGCACAGTAGCAAGAAGAGGCATTAAGCTAACGGTTTGCTAATAAGCCTTTTTACCTCTTCCCATCTCTTAGCAATGTAGTAGTGCTACATTTGAGAATGTGTAAGATGTCCAGGAAGTCTAATACGATTATCCTTAATTATGAAAAATTCAAAGTAAAAATGGTAAGACAAAAGATCGGGAATTTTTCCTTAGCAAACACTTGTTATAGCACTTATTTTAAGGCACCATTCTAAGCACTTTGCAAATATTAACTCATTATTTTATTTTATTATTATTTTTTAATATATTTTATTGATTTTGTACAGAGAGGAAGGGAGAGAGATAGAAAGCTAGAAACATCGATGAGAGAGAGTCATCGATCAGCTGCCTCTTGCACACCCCCTACTGGGAATATGCCCGCAACCAAGGTACATACCCTTGACCGGAATCGAACCTGGGTCCCTTGAGTCCTCAAGCCGACGCTCTATCCATTGAGCCAAACCGGTCTCGGCTTAACTCATTATTTTATAATAACCCATGCATTCAGTACTGTTATCTCCATTCTACAGTCAGGAAACTGAGCTGGGTTCTACTTGCCCAAAATCACACAACCAGTGACAAGAGTCAGTATTTGAAATCACATCTGATCTGGTCCCTTGTCCATTGTTTCTGCTTTTCCCAGCTTCTCGGAATTATTCTAGAACAGAAGTCTAGGAACCCTGAAACTATATGTCAAATGTTGCACGCACGTTTTTCAGAAAGAGGGTCCACGGCCTTCATCTTTGTATAAAAAGTGTTCTCAGGCATAATAGTTGAGCACTGCTGACCCAACCTAGAGGGGCTCTTCATGTCCGTTTTGTTGCTAAAGAACTCCAATTGGAATATGGATTCCCTCATAACAAGATACATGTTTTTGGTTAAGTACCACCGATTTCATTCCTTGGAGGACAAGGATTATCTTTTCTGTATTCTTTATATATCAAATAGTTAGGACATAGTAAACATAAATAAATGTTTGAGTGAATGGCGCTTTGTGAAAAATAACTGCTTTATACCCAAAGATATTAGTAGATAATCACTTACATTTCACATAAGACCTTCATGTAACCACATTACCCCACCTACCCCACCTCAGTTTTCACCTCTAAATGTCCTTTATAGAGCCTGGCATTCCTCTATCCTCTTGGTACCTTTATTTTAAATGAGCCCTCCTTCTCTCAATGCTAAGTATTAATTAGAAAATGCCTCTTTCCCAGAAGCCCACGTAGGTATAATTTTTTGAAGTGGTACTGGAGCACCTCTAAAATGTCAAAAGCCCCTCTTTTCCCAAGGTTAGTTTCTCCACTTATATTCACCATTCTCAAACTTTTTGAGAATCCTGCTGTCCCAGCATTTTGGGCATCAGATTATGTGATAGAGGTCACTCCTAGAAGGTTGGTAATTGAAAGGTTAAAAACACAAGTTACTCCTGTTATTTGCAGGTTTTTAATATTTCCTACAACTTTTGTAATATACTATGTTAGTACAATTTTGATCATATATACTTAAAATCCTTTTATTCCTGAAATATTAATATTTATTGCATGTAATAAATGTAAGATCATTTTTCTTGAGTAATTGGTGTTTATTGCATGTAACATTATATTTAAAATCGTTTTTCTTGGGGAGAAAAACATACAAGTTACAAGGAAAGTAATTGATGGTTTCTTCTGGGAGAGAAAACAGAAAGACTGTCAAGTAGACATAACCAAACTATGGAGGAGGAAATAAATAAAAGTACTATTTAAGGTTGGGAAGATAATAAATGCAAAAGAACTAGAAGTCTTTGAAAGAGGATATTTGGAGCTCATAGCCAAAGTTTGATGAGTAGTAGATAAGCTGTTGAGGTGAGGGCACTAGTCCCATAAAGATTAGTGTTGCGGGAGGGTTATAATGGTGCTACTGTGTTTCCCTGAAAATAAGACATCCTCCGAAAATAAGACCTACTTACAGGTTTCCTTCTGAGTGAAATATAAGGCATCCCCCCCGAAAATAAGGCCCCCCAGGCTCTGTCTCAGAATGAAAATTAATTTACCATAAACTGGTTGGTAGGGCCGCCCCAACTGGCGTCTAGCAACCAGTGACGTTACTCATTTAAAGACAGTGCTATTGCTAAACATGAGAGATTTGGTCCACTGATTCTGAAAGAAATGGAGTCACAAGAAATTCGCCAGGAAATTCAGGAATTGGATTGTTATGATGATGTTCCAGAAGATGATGACATGATTGTCATTGAATAAATGAGTAAATTCTTGATACTTTAGGATTCACAGTTTGTCTGGTTTGTGTTGACAACTACCGTACTACCATACCGTATACAGGTAATAAATTTCCTTTATTTTCATTTAACAATAAATGTGTACCATATTCTTCTTCATGGAAAAATAAGACATCCCCTGAAAATAAGTCCTAGCACATCTTCGGGAGCAAAAATTAATATAAGACACTGTCTTATTTTCGGGGAAACAAGGTACATAGGCACTCCCCCCACTCTTTGTTTTCTTAGAGCAAATGAAAGAGAAATAGGCTTGGTTACTGATTATAGAACTTGCCCAGAGAAATGTTTTCCTGCAGTGCTGAGAGCATGAATAGGAAAGTCACCGGTGGGAAGTGGTGGTTTAAAGCGATTCTCCCCCCTCCTCTCCCTTCTTACAGTACATGGTTCTTATAATCTGCCTCACTGGAAGCTGCCTGTTCCTGAATGTATATGCCAACCAGTGTTATTGCCCCTGAATAAAAATACTAACTTTTTGAAAAATATAAAGAGCATGCTCTGAATTGAGTGGGCCATGGAAGCTTTTATTGTGAGAAGAAAACTAATTTCTTTGCTTGCTCAAAGGCTTTTCCTTTTTTTTCTTAATCCTCACCAGAGGATATGTTTATTAATTTGAAAGAGGAGAGAGGGAGGGAGGGAAGGAGGAAGATAAAACATCAACTAGTTGCCTCCTGTATGTGCCCCGACCAGGAATGGAACCTGCAACCTTTTGGTGTATAGGACGATGTTTCCAATCAACTGAGCCACTTAGCCAGGGCCAAAGGCTTTTCCTTCTTACAGTCATCTGATTTCTCAGTATTTTACCCACAAACTTTTCCAACCATAAGACTTAGGAGATAAGATTTTATAAAACAAACAACTTTAAAACCAACATTTAAAAAAAAGATAAGGGGCAGTATGACCACTTACTTGTGGCTGGGGCGGGGTGGGGGTGGTGGTTGATCAGGTTTTAGGGTCATACAAATTGCATTTGAGCCTGTTTCTTCTATGTACTAGTAATGTGAACCTGAATCTTTCTGAACCTCAGTTCCTCATCTATAAAATGATAAGGGAGTAACTCCTACTTTGGGATGGTAATAATGAGTATTAGAAATTATATCATTAATAGGTAGGTAGTAGCAGCAACTACTGCTAATAACCATAGAAACAGAGGAATAATTGAATAGAATATTCTGGGTATGGAACTTGTGCCTTGAATTCATTCCCCGCTGGAGCTCCCCCTAAGAGAGAGGTCGGGTTGCAGTTGTCACCGTACTCACTGTAACAGTGCAATGAGTAAGGATATGCTTTGCAATGTATGCGCTGGTGTGTCTTGATTTGGGAGTCCTGTCTAAAGGAGAAAGGAAATGGGGTGATATATTTCAAGACACGTAAGTGTTCTTTTCTGTGTTCTGGCTTCCTATGATGTTCTCATTTTCCCTTGTTCTTTCCTGGCAGGTAGCTGTGAAAAATAATATTGATGTCTTCTACTTCAGCTGCCTCATCCCACTCAATGTGCTTTTTGTAGAAGATGGCAAAATGGGTGAGTATGTCCTCCTATCATTGCTAATGTACCTTTGCCCTTCCTATGAATGCTAGGCAGAGCATAACCCAAAAGCACAAGTTATTTTGAGGTTTGAAAAAAAATGGGATGGGTAGCCGAAACTGGTTTGGCTCAGTGGTAGAGCGTCGGCCTGAGGACTGAAGGGTCCCAGGTTCGATTCTGGTCAAGGGCATGTACATTAGTTGCGGGCACATCCCCGGTAGGGGGTGTGCAAGAGGCAGCTGGTCAATGTTTCTCTCTCATTGACGTTTCTAGCTCTCTATCTCTCTCCCTTCCTCTCTGTAAAAAAAAAAAAAAAATGGGATGGGTAAAGCTATTCTAAAGTTCTAATAATTACTAATTATGTATTCGCCTGAGTCACAGTGGTCTGTTTTGCTATTGGTCTCTAAATTACAATGCCGATTTTCTGAATAATCCTGTCACCCCAGCATACAGAGTACAGGCATACCTCATTTTACTACACTTCACAGATACTGCATTTATTTATTTATTTATTTATTTATTTTACAAATGGAAGTATGGCAATCCTGCATTAAGCAAGTCTGTATTTTTCCAACATTTGCTGAATAATCCTGTCACCCCAGCATACAGAGTACAGGCATACCTCATTTTACTACACTTCACAGATACTGCATTTATTTATTTATTTATTTATTTATTTTACAAATGGAAGTATGGCAATCCTGCATTAAGCAAGTCTGTATTTTTCCAACATTTGCTCACTGGTTTCTCTGTCACATTTTTGTAATTCTCTATTTCACACTTTCCTGTTATAATTATAATAGTCCTATATAATAAAAGCCTAATATGCAAATTAATCAGACGGCAGAACTACTGATCACTATGATGCACACTGACCACCAGGGGGCAAACTCTCAACATGGGAGCTCCCCTAGCCTTCAGGCCTCAAATGGCAGCAGCTGTGGGGGCCAGGGCCGGCGAGTGGGCGGCAGATCCACTCCCCATCACCACCGCCGCCGCCGCCGCCGCCGCCGCCGCCGCCGCCGCCGCCGCCGCCGCCGCCGCCGCCGCCGCCACCACCACCACCACCACCACCACCACCGGTTGCCCCACAGATCGGCCCTGATCACCAGCCAGGCCTAGGGACCTCCTTGTGCATGAATTTCATGCACCGGGCTTCTAGTTTGTAATAAACCACTAATATTACTCATGTGGTTATTGACATTTCTCTCTTCCCTTACTATAAAACCACCATCTAATAAAACTAGCTTATATTGGTACATATTAAATTGTATTGGCACTTAATTAACTTGGTTTTTACAGTCCTTTTTGATTAAGCAAGTCAGACATATGAAATTAAGGATCAGAAAAGTTACAAATTTACCTAAAGTTACCAAATAGGAAAACAGTGGAGCCAAAATTAAACCCTAGATGGTAAACTCTTTCGATGTATCTTAGTGTTACTGATGCGGGGTTAATTGACTTGGAGTAGAGCATCTCTGCATGGCCAAAAACGGGCTCCAGGCCCAGGCTAACCCTGGCTTTATTGCTATTGCAAGAGCCAGCATCCAAAGGAGAAATGGTACAAGTCATCAGAAATCAGACTATTGACAGATTGTGCACATCCTTCCTTCCCTCTGCTTCCCCATGCAGAGCGCCAGGTCTTTCTTGCAACATGGAAGGATATTCCCAATGAAAATGAACTTCAGTTTCAGATTAAGGAATGTCATTTAAATGCTGGTGAGTAATGACTACATTTAATTTTTTGTCTTTCTATACCTCTTATTTTTATACTTACCTTGTTTCTCGTGGTTATATGGTAGCTATATTACTTTGCAAACTTCTCTTTAAAAATTTGGGACGTTTTGATGTAGACACTAGATTACTATGAGCCAACAGATTTAAGAAACAAGCTAGAATGGTTCCATCTTCGCAGTTCAGTAGTTGAACATGTGTTAGTCATATTATTTGAACATCCTGTAAGCCATTAAATAATGGAAATGGCATTTAATGATGTACACTCTCCCTAGAATTAAAAGAACGATTTTTCATTTATTATCTACTGTCAGTATGGGAGGAAAAGTGACTCTGTATCCTTATGTAGAATCTTGTGTTTGTTATTAAATAAGAATACATCACAGTTGATTAAAGACTAGTTGGTAACCTTTTTCTTTCTTACCTTGTATCAGCATCTATCATGACACTAACCTCTTTAATCACCGTTAAAAAGCCCCAGACCCTTTTGTAGTTATTTTTATAACCATGTTACCATGATAGAGGTAACACCAAAGGAGAAACAATAGCAGCTCTCGGTCCCTTGGGCTTTGTTTCATCAAAGTGTTCCTTAACCATGGAAGGAGCACTAAGCTCCTCAGAGTCCTGCCTTTGTCCAGTCTTTTTAGGTTAATACAAGGTTAAGTTTAAATAAAAGTTAGCCTTGGTCTTTGGTCCATACCTCCTTTTTCTTCGTTTACCCCTCATTTCATCCCCCATATGTTGCCAGTTCTCATAAGTGTTTTTCTTATGCTGCCATCCCCTTCTAGCTAGAGCATAGTACTGAGAGACAGGCAATATGGCAGGTACAGAGAGGGGCAAAACTGTCTTCTCCCTCCAATTTTTTTTTTTTTACTTTTTGGGGGGCTCTATGATGATTCCATTCTCTGTTCAGACAAATACTCTTTTCTGAGAAGGTTTCTCCGGAGCCTTTGGAGAGGTGTTTGAGGTGATAAGTCTTCTATAATTTTTATTGTAATAACTAGTTAATTGATTTTCTTCAAGAATACCATATATCTGCCTTCTTTCTAACATATTCTTGGTCTAGGTTTCTCACCATGACTGGTTATGTCTTTATGCACCAAAACCAGAGTTTTTGCTGTTTACACACACGCACATACCTGCGTGCGCGCACACAGCCATACTCAAATTGAACTGCTTTTTGTGCGTGTTCTGGTAGATGACAGTGTTTCCTGTCACTCTCTGAGGTTCACCACAAAACCCATTTGATGAGTGTAGGAGGTTGGGCAGCTTTCCACAGCACAGCCTCCTGTTCTTCAGGAGGACGGCAGGTGCTTCGGGAAGCTTGTCAGGTCCGCAGTGGCTGCTCATGCTAAGGACCAGCGTGGATCCTGTCAAGAGAAGCAGCCCCTGTGCCCAGCTTGGAAAGACCAGGCCCTTTGTTATAGTTACCCTTGTGGTAGTTGGTCCTATGGCAACATTTCTTATATTATGCTCCTGGAAACGTTGTTGTTGTTGTTGTTTTTAAGGGGGCGGGGGTTCAATTAGAGTTGAAAAATGCAGTGCACCATGTCTCTGTCTAAGAAGTTGCTGTTGCACATTAGCACACTAAAAGTTGAGGAGTCCCATACTGAGAACACCTGTTTAGATCATTGGTGACTGGCATTTAAAATGACAGAATGTTAACATTTTTTGGAATACAAGAGTTCCTTCAACATGATCGGGGAAACATTGGCCTGTAGAGACACAGAAAAAGGCCAGACTAATTGGAAAGATTTGGTTTCTGACATCCAGTATGAAAGGAACATGCTTTTAAAGGGAGGGGAGGAAGTTTGGATAACTTCGTCTGGCCTGTCAAAATAAATGAAAAGATCTCCCTGCTTCCAGATTGGAATCATGAACACTATTGTACCTTGATGTACATTCATGATGTTGCCAAAGAAGTATCTGGCCTTTCTCCCACTGGGGCTGTGTCCTCTGGTGTAGCCTGGACCAGTTTCTCAGAGCAAGTCCATTCCAGTCAGTTCTGCCACGGCTTCGAGCCAGTGTCTCCTTGCTTTGGGTGCTCCAAATGCCAGCGAACGGGTTTTCCAGTGTGACACAGCTCTAGGGTGGCACAGCACATGGGGCAGAAGGAAAAACAGCCTCTCTGTTCTCCAGGAGCCCAAGCCACATTTCCCCACACTAAACCAATGCTAGTCTTTCAAGAAGCTAATCCTTTCTCACTTTTCAACTGCCTTCACCCCAAGGTCTGAAGTGCCCTGGCCTTTGCACTTCCTTCCATTCTTGAAGCTCTATTAATGTGAATTTTCCAGGTTTAGTGCCTTCTGATTCAACACCCTGGGTCTAGCTGAGAGCTAAAAATACCATCCTTTCCAGCTGATCTGCCCTAATCACAATAGCACTAACACTTTAAATAGCTTTCTGTGCCAGAGTAGACATTTGACAGATGGCAGTGACAGTCTGAGGGCTATGGGAAGTTACAAGTTTAAAGGACTTACCAACCTAGCATTGAGCTTTTACTTTTGTTCCTCCATTTCTTCCTGAAGCAGAAATTCTCTTCCCAAGCTTTAATAATCAGATCTTAATAGAAAGGCATATGTGATAGGGGTGCTTGTGATGCCATAGTTGTATAAATACTAGATCAGAAATGCACTAACTATTGGGTCTCCTGCTTTCTAGTACTAGTCATCTCTATGAATGACTAGTGTCAAGAGATCTGTATGAATCTGTTTTGTAGCTTACCATTATAGCTGCATTTAGGGTTGGTATATGTCTGGGACCACTGTCTTAAGTAAATAAGTAATTGCATCTCTAGCCATATCGAGAAAGGAATCTTTCTGGCAAGCAGTCTACAAACTTTTTTTTTTTTTTTTAATATATTATGCTCTGTATAAACAGGGGTAGGCAAAAGTAGTTTTACATTGTTCATATGAAAAATAATACAATAATTAATAAACTGTGTTTCATGTACTCACAACTGTAAACCCATTTTGTCATTAGTTAGGCACTGTCGTGGGGGACATATTTTTTTGGCAGGAGGGCCAGGCAAGGGTGAGCTCTGTTTCTTTATTGTGTGGTTCTCCCCATTCTCTGTAACATCTCATAAATGGAAATGTTTTACCAGCCAGTACTTAAATGTAGTTTGGTTGCTTAAATGGTAAAGTGTTATTTTTCAGCAGTCATAGTGGTTTTGAACTTGCTGATGAATACCACAGGTGGGTGCCAATGCAAAGTCCCCTCTTCCGACTCTCTAATCACTGTCTTTTTACTCTTGCTGCTGGAAGAGGTGGTTTAGCTAAAGTAGGAAGATGAAGGGAGACTACATCTATACCTTCTAAGATTTTAGGCTCCAGACCCAAAGAGCCAAATTTCAGGAAGACAAATGAACCAGAAGAAATCATATCTTGAAGCAGGTACAATTGACCCTTGAACAGCGCCAGAGTTAGGGATGCTGACCACCATGCAGTCCAAAGTTTGCGGATAACTTAAATCTGCCCTCCACGTGCAGGGTTTCCTACTGACCCTGAACACTCGGATTTGAACTGCTTGTGTCAGTTGAAAAACTCATTTATAAGTAGACCCAGACATTTCAAGCCTATGTTGTTCTCCAGCAGTATAATTATATTTGACCATCTTTTTTTTTACTCTTTGGTGCACAACTCAGTGTCTTAACATTACCTTCTTCTTCTCAAAGTTTCAAAACTGTAAGATTCCATTTGTTTCAGGAGTTTAGGTGTGTGAAAAATACCTGACTCCTTGTCAGGAAGTCTGTCCCAGTCTGGCTGGGAAGCCTTATCATACCTGGCTTTCATTGCAGAGTCTGGTTATCCTGCCATCTATACATCCTCAAGCTCAAGCCTAGTATCTACTAGGAAGATCATAAAAATTGACTCACACACATTCTTAAGTTATTGGCTCAGCGGAAGAGCGTCGGTCTGCGGACTGAAAGGTCCCAGGTTCGATTCCGGTCAAGGACATGTACGTTGGTTGCGGGCACATCCCCGGTGGGGGGTGTGCAGGAGGCAGCTGGTCGGTGTTTCTCTCTCATTGACGTTTCTAGCTCTCTCTCTCCCTTCCTCTCTGTAAAAAATCAATAAAATATATTTTTTTATAAAAAAGTTATTGGGCACGCACACCATCAAATATTTCAATAGAAATCATGCCACAGCCATTCAGGAGGAGCAGAGCCTGGCCAGAGTGCTTCCAAATGTATTATGGTTACATCCATTCAACTTGCTTACTCTGCCTGGCTGATGGCCATGTTTTCTAATTCTAGAAGGGGTGAGTGTGTATGTGTGTTTGAATGCTTCCACTTCTTAGCCTATCATCTCTTACAGAGATGGTAAATCAGGAGATGTCTTTAGGAATCTGGAACTTGTTGTAAACATTGTCTAGAACATATTTGTGCCTTTGCAACAAGGTGGTGCTTCAATAAAAGCTCCCGCGGTGTGTGTTTTCCACTTCCGTGGAAATGGGCAAGAGCCTTGAAAGTTAGGAATGGCTTTACAACTTAAAGACATCCTGTTTTAAAGACAGCCCTGTCAAAGGGTATTAGCCACATTCCAGCTGGTGACATTGCCTAGTTACCCAATGTAGGCTGCAGGAATCCTTCAATGTGAGAACCAAGGTGACAATCAGAACTGCCTAGTCCCTCAGAGGTGAGTAAAAAAGCATATTGAGGCCGCCTTCTCCAACAGTATTGTGTTTAACTAATAACTAACCTACGATACATATTTTGGCTCCTCAAAGAGACCCCGTTCTTATCTGCTCTGCTTGGTGCTAGTGAAAACCTTTGGAATTCAAAGGGGGAAAGTTAAGTAATAACTGGGTGTAGTGCAAATGTTTAATGAATGGACTTTAGCGCCTCCTTCCCTGAGCTTCCACCGGTTTGACTGTGGGAGAATGATGTCAGGACAAGATGGTTCTATATACACATTGGCATCACCAACACCCGAGTCAGAAGCCTGTCCACAGGTAATGATGGCAGGTATCCATCGCGCCCCAGATACTGTGGGAAGCACAGTGATGAAAAACTTCAGGATCCCTGTGCTCAGAGAGCTTCCTGTCTAGGAGAGCGTAAAGACTGTCCATCGTGGCAACCTTTTCCTAAGAGCACATTAGAATATGACAGATTTTAGATGGAAAGAAGTTAGTTCCTGAAGTTGGCGTGAGTAAATTAAAGTCTCATCAGAAATGAACATAATAAACTGTCACCCAAGAAGCAGTGTTTATACTCTCTATTAAAGTTTCTCTTTGATGCCACAACATCTTCCATATTAGCAGTAAGAAAACAAGAAGAGAGAAATGACCTTTAATTCTAAAATGTCATGTCTCTTTGATGCTGTAGTCACAAGGAAGGCCCCATTCCGTTGTTACCTGGATTGGTGACTACAGGCCTCCAATCTGTAACCGGCAACGGCAGCTGAGGTTACGGGGCTTTGTAATAATCATCTTTGTACAATTTCAGTCTTTCTCAAAGTCTTGTTGGGACCATTTGTTTAATTATTAATTTAAAGTCATGGTATTCCCTATAAGCTTTAGGAATCATTTGCCTGCTTTTAAGGAAAAAAAAAAAAACAAAAAACTTAAAAGTTCATGTTAACAAATTTGACTTGTAGGATTTCTGCAACTCTGCTGTTTTCTGATCCTGGCCGCTGAGGCCAGAGGGCTCACAGGGAGGTAGTAGTGACTGGGCAGCAGTGTTGTGGATTTGATCGTCAGTCTGTGTCTCCCTGTGGCTCTGAGACCAATGTTCCAAACATGAATACCAACACGAGAGCCACCCTGGCACACTCATGCACCCATTTCTGCCTTTGTCCTCTTCGGACCATTTTTACTTTCTATTATAGCTCCAGGTAATACCAACCTCTTTGACCTATCGTATCTCCTCAGGTATTTCTTACACTAATACTTGGTTGCCCCGTGTCCTGTTTTCTGTCCTGGGATGTGATAGGCACTTTGCTCCTATAGGAGAAGGGCTTTCTGAAATGTGAGCGTGGAACAGTGTTTGTTGGGATTTCAGCAGGTGTGGCCGTGAGGATGTCGGAAGAGAGTTAGTAAGCATTTGCTTGATATTTTGAATCTGTGTTTCCAGACACTGTTTCCAGCAAGTTGCAAAACAACAACGTTTATACTATTGCCAAGAGGAATGTGGAAGGGCAGGACATGCTGTACCAATCTCTGAAGCTCACTAATGGCATTTGGATCTTGGCTGAGCTACGTATCCAGCCTGGAAACCCCAACTATACGGTAAGGCCTTTCTCGGAATGGGTGAGATGGGTTCAAGGAGGGAGATAAGAGCCCTTCCATTTTTTTCTTAGCACCCTGGAAAGGCCTGGAAGAGGCGCTTCAGACCCCATATATGTCAAAACAAGTGGTCAATACAGAAGTCCTCAGTGGCCTCTTTGGAAGATCTCTTTACAGTGACTGCCCTATCAGCACAGGCATGGCGCCTCTGCAGCAAGAGTGCCTCAAACTTTCCCTCGAATATATAGAGCTGCTCAAAAAACGGCAACTTTTTCAGTCTCAGTTAATTCATATCTAGCCCAGTGGTCGGCAGACTCATTAGTCAACAGAACCAAATATCAACAGTACGACGATTAAAATTTTGTTTTTGAGAGCCAAATTTTTTAAACTTAAACTTCTTCTAACGCCACTTCTTCAAAATAAATTCGCCCAGGCCGTGGTACTTTGTGGAAGAGCCACACTCAAGGGGCCAAAGAGCTGCATGTGGCTTGAGAGCCGCAGTTTGCTGACCATAGACTTAGGCTGTCTGAGCAGGTAGCCCCATAACAAGCTGCCAGGAGGATTGTTAACATAGTTTATTTCAAGGAGGTCTTCTTTCCTACTTTTGGAGTTTACGACCTAATGATAGCGGAGTTGTGGACACCTAAGACTTTTTTAGCATTATTTGTCCTGAAATACTTTTGCGAAATGTAAGGCAAAATAGAACATATTTTTGGCAGCTTAACCAGTTAGGGCATCATTGATGTTTCTCTCTCCTTCTCCCTTCTCTCTCCCTCTCTGAAATCAATAAAAACATTTAAAAAATCTTTTTAACTTCTTCATTTGTTATAATTTGACTTGCAGAAAGTTTTTTTAAAATGGTACATAGAGTTCCCATGTGTCTTGCACAGTTTCCCCATTGATAACACACATTGATAATATCTTACATATCCATTGTGCATTTTCAAATGAAAATGATATTGATAAAATAATGCTAACAAGACCACAGATGAGTCTATTACTCTGTTGTGTAGTGTACAATACTATGAAATCTTATCACATGTATAGATTTATAACAGAACTCAAAACTGTTCCATTATAACAAAACCTCCCTCTTATCTCATTATATTTAAACTCTCATGCCTTCCCTAACCCCTGGAAACCACTGATATGAATTCCTTCCTTAAATTCATATAACATGTAACATTTTGAGACTTTTTTTTTCCCACTTAACACAATACCCATGATACCCACCTAAATTGTTGCATGTATCAATAGTTTGTTCTTTTTTAGACAAAATAGTAATCCACCATATAGATATACAGCAGTTTACCTGTTCACCTGTGAAGGACATTTCCTATCCTATATATTTTTAAAATTTTTATTTTGAGATCATTGTAGATTCGCATGCAGTTATAAGAAATAGCCCCATGAGATCCTATCTTCAATGTGTGCCTGTTTATATGCACTACCATCTCTGTATTTGTATATAATAAATTTGTTAATATTTCCTTGTCCCCTTTCCTATTTTCTATCCATCTAGTAACTAGATTCCTACTGCCCACAAAACCATCTAAATTTTTTCATTACAGTCTGACATGGGTCTAATCCATTCCCCTAAATGTGTTCCAGACTTCAAAATCTTTTGGATCCATTTCCTTCCCCTCATCACTCTAAACACCCATTGTACTATTGATTTGATCTCAGCTACCAATTAAGGAGGGGAAAATCTGTCTGGTTGAGCCCAGCACCAGTGCATGAGGACTGATGGTCCCTAACTCTTTTGAGAGAATGATAAATCACTTCCTCCCCCCAGTCCTTACTGTATTTCATTACAGAAGTTGTTTTTTTATGTCCTGGCCAATTGGCTCATTCCATAAACCAAAAATTTGTGGGTTCAGTTCCTAGTCAGGACACATACCTAGGTTGCAGATTTGATCCCCAGTTGGAGTATGTATCGGAGGCAGCCTTTGGATATTTTTTTTTTAATATATTTTATTGATTTTTTTACAGAGAGGAAGGGAGAGAGAGAGCTAGAAACGTCGATGAGAGAGAAACATCCACCAGCTGCCTCTTGCACACCCCCTACCGGGGATGTGCCCACAACCAATGAACATGCCCTTGACCTGAATCGAACCTGGGACCTTTCAGTCCGCAGACTGATGCTCTACCACTGAGCCAAACCGGCTTCGGCCCTTTGGATATTTCTATTTCATATTTATGTTTCTCTTGCTCTCTACAAGTGTAATATGCAAATTGACCAAACAACTGAACAGCAGAATGACCTTACAGACAACCTTCTGGACGAAGCCAGGGTTGGATGGGGCTGCGAAGGCCTACTCTTGCACAGATTTTATGATTGTGCCTCTAGTGTTGTTGTTTTTTATTTGTGTGTGTGTGTGTGTGTGTGTGTGTGTGTGTGTGTGTGTATTTTCCCACACACACAGAAAGGAAGAGAGAGGGATAGAGAGCTAGAAACGTCGATGAGAGAGAGACATCGACCAGCTGCCTCCTGCACACCCCCTACTACTGGGGATGTGCCCACAACCAATGTACATGCCCTTGACCGGAATCGAACCTGGGACCTTTCAGTCCGCAGACCGACGCTCTATCTACTGAGCTAGACCAGTAGTGTTTTTTAATAAAGAGGCAAAATTACCCTAGCCGGTTTTGCTCAGTGGATAGAGCACTGGCCTGTGGACCAAAGGGTCTGGGTTCCGTTCTGGTCAAGGGCATGAACCTTGGTTGTAGGTTCTCTGACCCTGTTTGGGGTGCATGCAAGAGGCAACCAATCAATGTGTTTCCTCACATCAATGTTTCTGTCGTTCCCCCTTCCTTCCACTGTCTAAAAATCAATGGAAAAATATCTTCGGATGAAGATTAACAAACAGACAAAAAGAAGCAAAAATGACATATCATTGAAGATATAATAGCAATGGTATTAGCAGTTCAAAAAGCAAATATGAAATTTTCTGGTTCTAAATGCAATTTGCATGCTTTCACTTTTGTAGTGCTAATATGTTGTCTAATCTAATACGATTGAGTCTGAGTCTGGATTTAAATTTTGGACTGCCCTTGACCAATGAAGCGAAAATTTCAGTGTTCAACATTGAAATCTTTTAATATTTTCGTTTTTATTTGGTAATGGTTAGGCTGGCAGAGCTGGTGCTAGAGAAATCGAGTGGCATCGGAAGTGTCTGACTTGCCTTCTAAGAAAGACAGAAAATAAGATCAAGTTGTTGGCATGAATTGCTGTCTGGTTATTGAGTAAATGTCTTTTTTGTGATAATTAAGTTTCCCTCCGTGACTGTGTGCTCTCCTCAATATAATACAGAAGGCACTAATGCCTTGGACTTGGCTGGCTTAAACTTTTCTTTAGTTGATTGTACATCCTCCTGTACTGAGAGAAGCATCCCTGTCAGACTAAGAACGTGAGGCAGGCAGCGGAAATGGCCACCAGCAAGATAAGGCTTTAGCCCTTTCCTTTTCATTTAGGAGAAATCTCTGTGATGCTTAGCAAAGCATTGGAGCAGCCGTGCCCCTATAGTCAGAGATTTTGCTGTTTTCAGTGTGGAGTATTTCCTAACCTCAGAGACCCACGTAAAATGTAGGTGGAAACAGCATAACCTGACATGGATTAAATTAAAATTCTAAAACCCGGAGGACGGTTCCTCGAACAGGCTCTCTTTGCCTACTCAGTGATAGGTTTCTCTCCCACTGTATCAGAGTTTTCCTTAGCCTGGCTACTTGGCTACCTTTCGAGTTCTTGCCGATCTCCATGCTAATCTTTCTCCCCCTCTCCCGCCCACAGCTGTCGCTGAAGTGCAGAGCCCCGGAGGTCTCTCAGTACGTCTACCAGGTCTACGGCAGCATTCTGAAAAACTAGCAGGCTGCTCTGGCGCCTCCGGCCACCCTGCGATCGGTGCAAGCCAAGAACTGTTAGCTAGAAGAATTGTTTTGCCGAATAGAAGCTGAACCTAAATACACTGAGGCCACCCACCAAGGTAGTGACTAGTCTAACCTGTGCTCAATTAGGCTGCAACCTGCTGGATAGTGTTAGCTTTCTGTGAACTCTGTAACCACCGCTTCAATCACTTCCCACCTCCGCCTCCCCTGCTGCTGCTGTCTGTCCTTACTTGTGGGCTTCTCCATTCTGGGCCAGTGGCTGGCGTTTTTTAGCGTAGTTTGATATTTTGTAATTGAGAGTTCATTTCAAAAGCAGAAAAAGACAAAAAAATATTAAAGCAAGGAAAAGTGTCACTGAAACGTAAGCTGCACTTTATTGTTTTTATATTTTTGTACATAAGAGAAATCGAGGGAGCAGTGTAATCATTGCTAGAAAATGTCAAGACAGCCGGCCGTCATTCCCGCACAGGCCTGAGGAAGACAGCTACTTGCCCGCCCTCTATGGCAACCTTGCCCGTCATGTGGATTTTCACTTTTTTTCCCTTCCCAGCTCCTTTCCTTTGCGATGCCCCTGCTCTGTCTTATCCTCTCATTTGATGCCCTGCAGTTGGGAATGGTGGTCTACCCTGAGTGCTGTTTAGGTGCAGGAATAGGGCCTGTCGGTACCAAGGCTGAGAGAAATCAGAACTTACTACATTCCTTTCCCCTGCTCTGACCCATTAATGACACTACTAAGGAAATTGGGTAGAGATGTTGGAAACAGGAACCAAAATGCCTTTCCCACCCCCTGCCCTGTATTTGGTTTTTCAGGTCCATTTCAGAACCAAAAATCATACTTTTGGAGTTGAAACCAGCCAATGCTGTTTTTCTAGCAAAGGAAACAGTAAAGGGCAGTGGGGGTATTTTTGCCTGAGGCCTGTGAGCTGTTCAGTAGCAGAGCTGGGGGACTGGGTCTCCTGAATCCCCATCGGCATTGTTTTCACTGCAGTCCTGTCTGGATTTGCTTTGTGTGTTTTTTTCTCCTCAATGCCTTTTTCTTGCCTTCTCTGTGCCTGCTTCTTTATGGCTTTCTTTTCTCATACTCCACACTGATTTTGGCACTTCACTCATTGGTATCAGGCCGCAGCCGAGTATCTTTTCAGTCACTTGAAGGTAAATCCAGATGCCAGAATGGAGGAGTAGCTATGTTTCCCATATGCTCCTGAGGCCAGAATTCTTGAGGCACCGGGGTGGGTGCAGAGAGGGGGTAAGCTTAAAGATGCACAGCGTCCCTTTGTCCCTGCAGCTCTCTGATGTGCTCTTGGCTTGTGTTCTTTAGGCTCGCAGGCAATGGAGATCATCTCAGAGGGTTAAGCAGTTCCTGTCATCTCTCAAAAGATAGGGAGATGTGGAATCCCTTTGCTTATTATTAACACACTGGTGTGATTTGTCAATGAATGCCTTGGTTGCAAGTTCTCTGACCCTGGTTGGGGTGCATGCAAAAGGCAACCCAAAACACCAGCCTGTTTAGCAGTGTTCACACCGTTTCATCTGTGGTCACCTGAGTTGCCTGGCACTCAGTATTCAGAATCCACGACCGAGACTGTTTCTCAGCTGCCCCTACTTAAATCAGTGACATTTCAGGTTCCAAAGGCCCGATACTGGACGCACATCTACGAGTGAGTCCCAGTGGAAGAAACATAGCAAAAATAAGAGCAAAGCCCAGCCAGCATGGCTCAGTGGTTGAGTGTTGACCTATGAACCAGGAGGTCAAGGTTCTATTTCCGGTCAGGGTTGTGGCGGGATCCCCAGTAAAAGGGCGTGCAGGAGGCAGCCAATCAATGATTTTCTATTATCATTGATGTTTCTATCTCTCCTACTCCCTTCCTCTCTGAAATCAATAAAAATATATTAAAATAACAAAACAAAAAGAGCAGAAACTGACCCCCAGCCTCCATCCTGCCATGTCTGAAATGACCCCAATTTAGACCATTTGCAAAGCTTGGGGATACTCCAAGCAGTTCCTTAAACCTTGAGAATCTCCAAGAGAAAATGTGCTGGGGTGGGAAAAAGGAGCTATTTCCCGTGCTCGCCGCCCTCGGCACACAGAGAAGTAACACAGGGTTGTGTGTGGGAGGCGGATGGGTTGGTGGTGTGTGGGTGGGAAAACAGGTTGATCAAGTTCCCTGGTTGGGAAATCATAGAGTTTGTTGGAATCAAGCAGTAAGAGTTCACACTATAAAAACTGTGTTCTCTTCTCAAAGCAAATAGTAGCTCCAAAAGGAGGAGTGTCAGGGTAAGCAGACAAAACAATTTTGTATCAGGCCATGCTCCTCCGCCCCTGAAACTAGGCTTCTCTCAGCCTCCCCGGCAGTGACCGTAACAACTGCTGTTCTCAGCTGACCTCACTGAGCCATCGGGAACTCAGCTCCCCGGGGAGGCTGCCTCCCGAGCTCCCCCAGCACTCGGGAGGGTCTGCTCCTCAGAAAAGGACTCTTCTCCCCAAGAGACAGACCTATTGCCTCCAGCGCAGCTTCCCTTTTGGCCTTTTTCAAGCTCGGCCCAAATAGGGAAATGGAATGGAGATTGCCCTGCATTCCCCTCTCCTCTGCCTCAATATGTCTTTGTCACGTCAGCTGGTGTCATACAAAGGGCAAGGGAAGCACACACACAGCCAGAACTCTTGCTGGTCAGAGATTCCCTGAGTGTCTGTCCTGCCCGAGCCTGTTCAGTGTGTCTGTGTTGTGAAGCTTCGGACTCTGGAGAGAAATGGGGAGGGGGCGGGTAAGTGTCACCTAAGAATGCTTATCATTCTCTTGTTGGGATCTGTTCTCGGGAGGGTGGGGGTTGGGGGAAGCTTGACCTTGTGTCTTCCTCAATAAACTCATTTACATAAAATGAAGTATTTGGTGTGTGTACTTTGCTCTCAGAACTGACACTCTAGGACAAAACACAGCTGGCCTGGGAAGGGATGGGCGTTGATACCCACACTATGTGAACTTTTCTTTGCTGCCTCCGGGGGATTCAGCTGGATGAAATCAAGATTGGTCTGCGGAAAAATCCCAGAGGCTCCTGTGAACCAAGCCCATACCACCATCACCACCACAGGCCCCTCGCCTCAAGCAGGGAGTGATCAGAAAGAGCCAATCTATCTTCCCTGGCAGCTCCCTTGCTGGGCCGCAGGCAGATGGTCCCATGGGCAGAAGGAGCACAGCACAGCTCATCAGTTTCCTATTACTCAGGACATTTCACTAATCCCCCATTTATAAAGGCTTTCAGACCTGGGTCGGACTGCGTGTTCTCAAGGGAATAGAATTAATGCTGCTGGAAAGCAAACTTCCCAAGGAGTTCAGGTGACCTGCCTGTGTTACTGGGGGGCATGTGACCCAAGTGTACCAAATGGAGGCCCCGCCCCAGGTTCTGATGAGCGAGAGCCTCTGAAATCTCCCACAGCTGGAGTGGAGGAAAGAGGCAGAGGGATTCAACACTGATGCCCTTGGACTAGTCCGTCCGCACCAGTCCAGTTCATGCAGGTGAGTACAGTCAGTGCTTGGCACTCAGGTGCTCGGAATAAACTGCTTTCATTACTTGGATCCAAACACCATGAGCCAACTTCCTCTGGCATCTGGGAGCTTGTTTGGCGGTCTCTGTATTGCTGGGCAGCAGTTAGCCCCGACTGTAATAAGAATAACATTTGGGGGAGCCCTAACTGGTTTGGCTCAGTGGATAGAACGTCGGCATGTGGACTGAGGGTCCCAGGTTAGATTTCATTCAAGGGCACATGCGGGCTCAATCCCCATTGGGGGGCGTGCAGGAGACAGCCTAACGTCCCCAAGTGTTTCTAAGGTGCTCTCGGGGCAGAGACTCACACTGTTGGTCTGATACAGTGATGCTCAGTTTTTGTGGCAGCTGAAAAACTGTAAAAGCACTTTATGCTCATGATCCCCGACTATCCCCTGAATTGAGCATTAAGTTCATTTTTATGAGATGCAGTAGAGTCATGTCTTCCAACTTGGAGTCCTTACCCCTGCACTACAGCGTTCCCAAAAAGGCTCCCTCCTCCCTCTGCAGTGAGCCACCAGGCCAACGGCCAACCTTGCTAAGCCCCCAAGATAATGATATGTTATGATCCTTCTCTGCCCACCAAGTGGCAACTATAAAATGCTGAGAGCTCAGGGACGCTGTTCTGAAGCCAGAGAACAGCTGAGGACTCCCAGGTTTGAGCCCTCCTACTCCCACCTCATGCATTGATGCTTTTTCTGATGTTGTTGGGACCCAGATTTCTATTCCCTGCCACCCTCAGCTCCAGGAGCAAGAGCCTGTTTATTTTAATACCTGGTGTGGCACTTGGGGAAGATCACACCTCCCCCGTTGTTACCCATTTCTACCTTCCGAACACTAATCCTAGAAACCCAGCCAGCCCCCAGATATGTTATTAGTAACCAGGATGTTTCACTCCAAACTTGCCATCTCAGTTTCTCATTTAGCTTTTGCCCCACCATCCTTCATGCTGCCAACAAGGGCAAAGCTGATTCAGAGGCTCACGAGACCCAGGCAGACTTTTGTCCCAACTCTAGGGACTGAGACAACTCCACTCACCCTCACCGCCACTACGTAGGTGATGGGGGATGCTGTTCAGATCTAGACTCTGGCTTTCCCTCCCTGGTTTCATTCACTCTCCACTTACGGTCAGAGGTTCCAGGATAGATGGCTGAACAGCCTCTGGAAGCTAGTGCAGGGTCCTCGGCTGTGATGGAACCAGGCCAGGGTAGGCAGGTTTGGGTCTTTGCCTTTTCTGTCCCACTCCATGTCTGGGCCTCAGATGCTGTGGGTGGACACACACTTGCTCCCACAGAGCCTGAGTTTGCAGCTCCGCTGTCTGGCGTCCTCAGCTGAACCAGAGCCACATGAGGCTTAAAGTCAGATAGAACTGAGGACAGTGCCTCTGAAGCTCTCACCAAGGCTGGCAGATGTGGCTCAATAAGTTGAGTGTCGACTCTT